ATTGATGTGTGTTTTAGATGTTGAGTATAAGCGCGATTGTTCTTGCGAATCTCTGCGTCTGCTACATAATGACAAACCAAAACGAAGAGGTGAACACCATTTCTTATTTATCCGGTAATGTTATTAAAAAAAGTTAATTTTTTGTCTTGAAAAGACTTTTTTTGAGACGCAGTTATATCTTAGTCAATCTCACCATTTAAGGCGGAAGAGTTGATGAAAAAAGTCGAAAGTGAAGAGGAAGAAATTGCATCTGAATCGGATAAAACAAAGATCTTCCACCTGTGCATCATCAACCTCGTCATCGGGACACTTTACTGTTCAAAAGTATGCAGCAATTTCAACTTTATTCAATACCCCCATAGCACTGACCAGAGTGCCTGCTCTAGATGTTGGAGTTAAACAAGCAGGTGTTCTGTCCCATTACAAGTTTTTATTCCATTTTAAAATAGGAAATCTAGTGATAGCATTTTGCAAATTTACGACACAAAAAGGTGGATGTATTTATTGTCATGGCTACAACGGTTAATTTTCTTCCTGCTTCGAAAATTACTTCGAAAATTTTAGTTTTTTAACATATTTTTGCTGTGCAGCGAGCAAAAACGTATATTGTCGAGAGGGTGCCCGTGTGTGTGTTCGGAAACAAGTGAACTTTGTCAATCACTTTCAACTCAGCAACTAAAAAAGACTGAAATTTTGGGCCTACTCCGTGTGTCACCTTCCCGTTTAAATCCTCAATCTCATACGCGCCTAGATCTCGCGTACGGACCCTGCAAAAAATATGCAAATTTCTTTAGCAGCAAACAGTTTCGTGAACCAAGCAAGGTACAAAGCTGAAGCTTTGCAGAGATATTCTCTGTGCATGTTTGAGCTAAAGATTTCAAATCCAGCTACAACGCGCGCTTTTGTCGCGTGTACGGACACGTCAAAGTTTACAGTTGGAACTGCTCTAATTTGAAAACTAGACGAAAAACGGCAGCTGAAATCATTTTAGAATACATATTGCTCATGTGGAAATCGTACTCATAAGCTGTTTCGATTTGCGTTTACGCCACGACTTAAGGCGCTTCGAAGATATTTGTAGCGAAATGGTTGTCTGGCTTACCAGACAAGTTGCGAAGTTGAAACTTTGTAATCTATGCTCACATATGGTTTTAATTCAGCTTGGAGGTGAAATTTGTGACACACTGGCCTTTGAAGTTAAGTAAGTTAACTGTGCAACTACGTGGCATATCAGTTGCAGATGCCGGCTTCATTGACCCGAGAAATGGAAGCTTGCTGGCGCACGAAAAAGACGCCATAGAAGAGATGAATTTGAAACCTTTTAGTTACACGTTAGTAAAAAAACTTCCTTCAAAATTTTAACCTTTCAGCTCCCGAGTTAACAGTCTCCCGCCAAAATTTTTACGTGCCCGTACGTGAGTCCCGAACGGTTATAAGGAGCTGAACTTGGAGTACTTTTGCCGTACATAAGCAAAGAACATTTCCCCAAAGTTTCAGCTTTCTAGCTTTTCTCGTTCCTGAGTTAGCAGTTTTCCTGTCAAAATTTTTACGTGCTCGCACGTAGGGTCCAGTCGTGCGTGAGGGTTGGTGCCGCGGTCCTGGAGAGGTACTTGGTCATGGAACCCGCTGGCAAAATTTTAGCACCAAGTTGAAATACCCGGGCAGATGAATACACACAAAAACATACACACGCACACCCACACACACCGAGGTCATCACAATATACGCTTTTGCTCGCTGTAGCAGCGCTATAGCGCTGCACAGCAAAAATGTATGATTATTGTTTTTTATTTATGCATTTCTAATTATTTTTTTTT